CTGCTTCGCCCAGAGCTGTCAAAGGGGCATTTGCCTATCAGATTTCGATGCCAGGTCGACTTGTTTTTCAACGCCAACTGAGTACAGCCTCCTCAGTGTGACATGGCTGGCTCTTCAGGGACCGACGGCCCATGCCGATGCTCAGTTAGATTCGTTAGCTACGTCGCCCTCTCTGGGTGAGGAAGAGGGGGGGGAGGGCGGTTCCCGGGACGCAGGAGCAGAAACTCAGCCCTCAAATCACGGAGATTTGAAATAAAGGCTCGAATCGAAAGCTGGTCAATGTCTCCCGGCAACAAAGTGAGTGAGTTGCCGGGATTTATTTTATAGTTTTAGGTGGTTCTCCCGGCGCTCTTGCCACTTACGACTGTCGTCAAGGAAGCGGCTGACCGTCCAGTTTATCCTCTACCGATTCCTCACTATCTCTGAGCTCGGATCTTCTTATTTGTCCGAGGAATCAAATCATTATCCTTTCGGGAATCGCTTGGGAAGTTTCCGAGCTAGGCTGCGTGTAATCCGGAAGCTCGTGGATCGAGCGTCGAGAGGAGATCGAATGATGAGCCCTTCGGAGACCGGTAGTGATGTCCGCTCTCAAGTCGGGAAAATGCCGATCTTCCCCCGACTGTCTCTCTCACTGATCTCTGGCGCCTATCATGATGGTGCCGTCTCTCGCTCTTGATTCGCGACCTAGTTCCTCTCGGGAGGGAAAATTCATCGCGCTTACAAGCTTCGTATATCGCCACAAATTGATGAACGATCATACCTACAGTCTCTTTTTTCGTCAACAGCCTCTCTCGAGTTAGACATACGCCGTTCGCTGGCGCTGACGTTCATCCGTCACTTAGGGTGTTATCAGTCTCGAACGTCTACCTAATTCGATGCGGAGCACGCGATTCCCGTCGCGGTAGCGTCGAATGATCCCAGCGGTTCTAGCCCGACTGAGGAGGCGCATTGCGAGCCTCGCTCGGCACAACTGTTCACCGGCCGAGGCTTTGTGGGAGAGCACTTACTTTTCCGGCACTGTCGCTGTCGCGTCGCGTGTACAGCTGAATTGTGTGGCCGGCCGCGTGACAAAGAACGCTAATCAGTGCCCACTTAGCCAAATGTCTTGGTGCGGTCACGTAGTCGAACGGCGCAGGTTATATGATAGCCCGCTGACACCTTCCTTCTGGTCGCTGTTCCCCGCCGCTAGGCCTCGAGAAGATGCCGATGTTACAGATTATTTGCGCATACAGCTTCATTATGATGATGATCGCCGATAACTCGACTGTTGTACGAGACCGCTGTCCCTTCTGTTTGCTTTGCAACAAGTGGACAACAATCAATGAAGAGTAAAGAAGGGAATCGTTTTTGTTTCGCCCTCCGAGTGCTTCCGTCAGCAAACAGAAAGCGACGGCCGACCGAGCGGCGGGCGGGCGGACGATCGGGCGAACCGGAAGGCTGACGGCAAAAGGAAGGCCGCAATCGAGGGAAGTCAGAGCGTAGCTTCCTACTGACTTCCATCGAGGTGACATTAACTGGGGCTAATTGGTATTAAGAGCGGTGAACGTGATCTCTCCGCAAACGTCTGACGCTCATTCCCTTTCTGTGTCTTTTTCCTCCCTTTTCCCCGGCCGTGCATCCGTCTGTTCGCTCGTCCCGGAAGGATGGACTTACAACTCTCTTCACTTCCGTACATGCGACCATAGCGTCGTAGCCAGTCCTGGACGTACAAACGCCGCTATTCGCTCACTTGAAAGAATCCATCTCGTGAACGTCGGTGTCGAATCGAGGAAGGAGTTGCGAAAGGGGATTCCCGCGATTAGAGAAATGGAGGTGCGAGCGAGGAGTTTCGAGGTTTTGCAGACGAGACGTAAAAGATCTCAGAGAGCTCAGAGAACGTCTCAAGAAGAAACACACGAACGGCAAAGAAGGGACAAGAGGTAGCTTATTGACGGCGATGACTCGAGCACGTATTCCTGCCGTTCCCGACCATTCCCGTCTCGCCATTCTTGTCGTGGGCTCCGCGCGCTGCTAAAGACGGACCATCTTGTTCCGCGACTGAGCGTCACCGCCAACCTCGCGTATACCTCCAACGTTTTCGCCTGCTCGTGGCTTTCTCCCCGCTCCTCCTCATGTCTGCCGTTTGCTTGACTTCTCTGAAGTGCTGATAATAAATTCCGTGTGCAGAAGCCCTTCGGCGTCCGCTTTAGGCAGCTCGTGGGTCGGCCCGAGGGCGGTTTGACGCGCAGCCGCTGCTCGTCGACCGACTGAGAAGGCGCTGGTTCGCGTCACCAAGTACAATTTTCATCCGGTCGGGCGCTCGTCGTTGCATGTTCGGGGGTTGTCACTTTTTTAGCCCGCGGGCGAAGATGTTTACGGGATAGCCCGCCCAAAGGCAAACCAACAAGCGTCTTCTTGTTCGTTTCGACAGACGTAGCGCGAGTAAGCTTCGATGATGACGCGACAATGATTTACGGCCACTTGAACAGAGAAGTTGGTCGCGACGCGAGAAGAATACGAAGAGCGAATGGCGACGGAAAAGATCCGGATCGGAAGCCGGGAGACAACCTACGCGCGTAGAGTTTCCGCGCATCGACGGCGAACCGGCAATCATTCAGATACGAGCGCATTGAATCACTGAAAACGGAAGCCGGCACGACGCGACGCAGGGAATCGTGGAATGGGAGGACAGAAATAATTCTGGACTATAGCGCCGTACCGACCAGACTCATGGCCCTGGTCGGCCGTTGTTGAGTATCGGAACTTCCATGTTGGGAGCACAGACGGAACTCTCGAGGAACGGGACCCCCCGGGGAAGGCCTCTACGAGAAACGCAACCTCCGGATTGCGCAGTCTCGTAGACCGAAGAACGATAATGAAATCAGTGGCCTAATAATCGGTGGAACTTGTCTTGCGAGTGACCAAGCCGCAGTCATACTCGTCCTTCCCATGTGGACAACTCGAAACGTGGACATCCTCTGCGCGACAAAATCGAATTTGCGTCAGCTGATTCACAACAACGGATCCAGCGGGCCGTAGGAGCTCGTGGTGGTCCCTGTTGCCGTCTACAGGGGACCGGGAAAGCCTGCGGACTAGCAATCGAACGAGCGATCGAAACCCAGGAGGAATTCGGGCTCCGAACGACGAGAAGCACCGCAGACTGAAGCCCCGGGCCGTCTTGGAGAAAGCCGCTTTAAATCTTTCAGCAAACGCGTTCGGTGGAGCATCCCCGACTTGAGTCAGATGCGCTGGTCCTGGATCGACTTTCCACCCACGTGGATCTCGCCCTCCCCCCCCTCCTGCGACGCTGTCTCGGATGACCCTGCCGTGGTTCCGGGGAGCTCGGATCTTAGACCTTTGCCTCGACGTAGAATCATTCGCGCAGAATGCGGCTTGTTCGAACGCGAGCTGCTCCATCATATTCATGGAGCATTATCCGAACTTGAATGGATCACGCGCTTCGGGCTCCGGCGCGTACGGTGCAAGTCTGTTTGCATAGTTGCACCAAACGAATCGTTGCTGTGGTTGCGAACGTTTCCTTCGAATACCTTGATTGGGACCATCTGGATCAGAAGTCCCTCGTCGGAATCGCTCTCCTGATTCTTCGAGGAATCAGTAGCATCGGGCAGGCGTAAGGGTTCCCCACGATTTTTCTGAGCTCGGTCGTCGGTTCAAAGTTCTAATTTCAGTAATCAGGGGGAGTCTTCTACCGCGTCACGTCGTCCGCGATATCACGGGCGAGCGAGCGGGCACCCGAGCAAGTGAGTCCGTCAGTCACTGAGTCCCGTTCTTCTCCTCCTCCTTCCCCTGGGATCCGAGGAGCATCTTGATTCACGAGCAGTTCTTATGTAACCTTAATGGTCTTAATGATGTTACCGTCACGACGAAACGAAAGGCAACGGATTGCCTCGTCGACTTACGTTCATGCTTCGCTGCCGCATATTCAGGCTCATTCGGCCATCGCGAGTGCAAGGAAGGGCTTTCCCGCGAGAACTTTTGCCTCGAAAGGCTCTAGGGTCTCCGGCATCTGAGTGACTCCTTCCCGTCAAAGGCATCGAGTACATAACGAATCTCAAATTTCATTGACGTGAGCATCAACGAGTGCCCAGTCGAGGAGGCTGTACGAACGAATGGCGTATTTATTCGATCTGTCCGGAAGGGATCCGTGTTGGTAGAAGCCAGTCTGGATCGTTTCCTAGAGAATATTAATCAAAATCTCTTCGTCATCTGATTCAATTGGAGCGGTGATCACTCATGAAGCGATTCATAATCTATTCAGCAACGCACTGTTTCGCGTAAATATGTATTTCGGCCGCACGTAGTTCACTTGACGAGGTGATCTCCCAATTTAGATCGGATATCCACTGACGAAAGTTAATGATAGAGCGTGGAGTAGCGTGAGGCACGTAAGTAGACTTAAAAAAAGTCTCCGGGGAGCTCGCGTTCGTTACGCATGGTCGTCGAGCTGGTCCTTGCAATCGAAAAGGAGTCCGGATTCGAGAGATTCCGAGGGATCCGATCAAGACCCCTCCTCTCGATGAAATTCACCCACAGGTTGACGATCGCGCGCTCCGCGACCTCATCTCTGACAGAAAGCTTGACGCGGCTTTCGTATGCCATCGGTCAAGCTCCCGGCGGGGCTTGTACTCTCACCTCAGACAGATTGCGACCGAATTCACGATCGTTAGCGCTTTTGCGCGGGCGGAAAAACTCGCGGGGACCCTCATGTGCGAGATCTGCAACCGTGTAAATGGCCCCCGGGACTCCTTCTTGATTGCAACGAATCGAGGAGCTTCGACATGAAAAGAAATGGGCTCAATGTGACGGTACGCTTGTGTGGAGCGATTACACCGCTCGGAAAGTCCCATAGTCAAGATCCGGAATGGAGCTCGGGACGTATCATACGGTCAAACATTTTCCGTCTGAATGCGAGCCCCATGAATTTTCAATCAGACGGAATAGCCTACCGATTTACAGTACTTCTGAGAGCGGCACATGGCGGCACGATAAACTCTATGTGAATGTATGTCTGTGTATTTCTCTGTGATTCGGACGATAAATTTCCGACGATCGCCGACAGCTCGGTGACGGGACGCAAGCACGACCTAGCGACAGGCGTGCTCTGTCAAAAAGCCTCTAATCTGTACGAGCTGAGGCTCTCCGCCAATGATCGGAGCCGAGTGAAAGAGGCCGAGAATTCGGTCATTCAAAACGATGACGAGGTGTGGACAGAGCTCGTTGGTCGACGACACGATTCAGTTGATATCTGTCCGTTTGTCCTCCTACACCAGTTAGTCGCTCGGCTCGTCTGATCTCTGCTCACTTACCTGAGGGGTAAATAAGTGCGGGAGGGGACCAGTTTAGAACGGACGGACGGTCGAACAAGCTGGCGAACATCATCTCACGTTCCCTCACCTGGTCCGATTTCGGTGAGCACTGCGACGTCAGGGTCAGTTCGTCGATTATCAAAGCCGCGACCTGACTCCGATAGATACTACTTCGCGCGTCGACCGGTGAACCTCGATGAGGCATGCCGTAAACGTTTACGATATACCTTCCCTCTGTCAACGGGGTAGGTAGAATGGGAGCGGACGATTCGATAATACTACTCGACTGACGAAGATAAAATTGTTTGAGCTCAAACATCTCCTGCGGACTCCAAGGTTTCTCAGGCCGCATCGTCACTAATGTGCTTAATCCGGAGCTGGAGCTCCTAATTCCTTATCGAGCATCTCTCCAGGTTACGGTGTCATTCCTTCCCTTGAACAAAGCATGTCTTCCCGGCTTAGAGCCTCCGATGGTGATCGGATCGGGTGCGCATGATGCATTCGAGTGGAGAACGTAAATTAATTTGAGAGGAAACAAAATTCCGCGAAGCCCGATTGATGGCCTACGGAAGCTCAAGCTTTCCTGGTGCCGAATCCTATAGATTCCGGCAGAGTCATCACGCACGAAAGCGCTCCGAGGCTGCTTGAGCAGCGGATCAGCAAGCTTCCCGGTGCGGTCAGCTGTTCGAGATGTACCCGGATATTTCTCTAGAGAAACTGGAAGCGTCTGAACAATCGCGGTGCTTCAGAACGACTATGCCTTCCCGAGCCCCCAGTTTCGGGAATCGCAAGGTAGCTTCGGGGGAGTTTCGTGTCGTCGCAAGACGAAGAGAATCATCATTGAAGGAATGAAGAGGATTTTCGGGCTGAGCGGAGGAGCTTTGCACGCGCTTTGCGTCGGAGGATTCTCCAACAGAGCGTCGGTCAACGCTTCGATTTATAGCCGACGATTCTCGGAATCTCCCCGAAAGGAGTATCAATCTACAACACGCCTCGCTCGATTTTCTTCGTCGACGCGACGGAGAGATCACCCAGAACATGTAGCTCCCTGGGAGATCAAGTATCTCGTTTTTTCTGTGGCGGCACGGCCAGCAGGACAACCGCCGATCGCTCGTCGACGTTGCGAGGCTCGGTTGCGTACGCTTTGCGCAGATCGTACGGGAGCGAACACAAACTCACTGCGAGAGGTATAGGCCTTGCGCGTAAATCGGCCCTCGCCGAGCGGGGAGACACCGCAGCTGCTGCTGGTTCCGCGGGATTCGTTTCGACGAGGAGACGATTTAAAGCCAATTACGTTCCCCCGCTCAACTCTCAATGTGTCTAACTCTTCTCCGTTCCCGCTCGTAGACCTTCGACCGACTTTGCGCCTTCGGATATTAATGAACCGACGCTATACGGCGACGACGACGTCGGTCGGTCGTTCGCTGGCTGCCGAGACACGACTGGCTGAGAGAGAGTCGCTGAAAACCCCACATGGAAACGGCACTGTTTTTAGATTCGAGCGAGTGAAGCTATTCAGATGGCATTGCAGAGCTCCAGGTCTATCTCTCTGGGAAGGAGAACGAACGGCTCACCGATTGATTGGATGGTCGATTAGCAGACGGATTTCTTCCGATATCATGGGGGACCGATCGATTAAGCGTTCGGCGGAGTTCCGACCGTGGGGAGACCGCTTCGTCGAGGTTATCAAAATCAACTTCTATTCCAGATTCTCAAGCCCAACCGCCGCTGGCTGTTCCGCCGTTGCCCGAACCGGAGTTCGCCGAAGAAATCAAAAATGTTTCCGTTTCGGTGGGGAGACGCGTCACCCTATCGTGCGTGGTCAACAACCTAGGGAACTACAGGGTGAGTAGGCTCTCAAATCCAATTGATTACTCTCGATACGACGGAGCGCTGAGAGTCACCTATGCGGATAGGAGACGCGTCGGAAGAATCATTGAAAAGCGACGAAGTATGTTCCCTGATATATTCGTACCGGTGAAAGCTCCCAGCTTGGTCATCGCCTGCGCGCATCAAGTTGCTCGTGCTGATGACGAATGCTGACTTTAGGGCACAACTGTGCACATGCATCGAATCACGGTCGAATGATCTCCCACCAGAATTCTGAAGCGAATGTGCGTTTTCCCGACGATGATCACTCAGCTGCTTCCTGGAGCATCGACACTAGGAGGCGTCATCTGCTCCTTCCACGGAGGAGAACTCCCCTCCGCTCGCTTGTCAGTCAGCACGGCGGCCGGCTAGGATGGCAGTTCGGCAGCTTGTGATACGAAGTAGCCGACAAAAAGAAAACTCCGCTCCGGCGAGCGGGACGGACCGACGTGTATCCGCCCGTCGTCGTTGGCGGTTACAACGTAATTTAATCCTCAAGTGGCCTTCCACTGTGAAGAAGTGTCTGAACGAAAAACGGTATCGCGCTAGTCAGCAAGCTGGGCAGGTGGTGGGGAACGGGAAAGCCCAGAGGAGGTCGGCTCTTGAAGTCAGAGAGGGATTGACGCCTTCCCTGTGTTGCTCCGGTGTTCTTGAGTGTTGACAAGTCTCCTTTCTATTCCTCTTTTCTCTGTTACACTTCCTACAGCATGTCTGCTCGTTGCGTGTGAGTCTCGGTCGCCGTGCGCGCCGAGTCTACCGTTCAACGACGCAAGTGAAAAAAAACTGTTTACGGGAACAAGGGAGAATGGCGTTGAGAGGACGGATGGGAAGGCGGAGGACGCCGAAGGAGTCAATAGGAAATACATTAGAGGCCGGACATGAGAAACGGCGGGGTCAGCCATTCAGGAGTACACAGGCGAACAAGGCCCCCTTTAGAGGGAGTTGTTTCCTGGAGAGCAGGACCGGCCGACTGACCGAGAGGCCGGCTGGTCAGTCGGCCAGGCGTCGTTGAAGCGAGAGTCAGAAGTGGAGAGAAAGGTTCATGGGGACCTAAGGGGGCTCACTCGATTTGATGAAGAGGAGACGCACAATTGAAAGCTGAAATTTTTGTGGCTGCTCATATCTATGGGACGATTCTATTTGGGAAGCAGCGGTTCAACGACCTCATGACCATTTTTAGGCTCCCGTCTGTTATGCCACCGGAGGCAGACGGGCGCTTCGCGCGATGCCAGCCTTCCCGGCAAAGCCTGGATTATCGCGTGCTTCTGTCCGGTACTGAATTCATGGAGTCTTGAGAGAAGGACGGAAACTATCTTTCGGCCAACGAGACTTCGAGGACATCGTCCCCGATAAGATCGCTTCCGTCGTCGAGACCTCGAACGAGCGGCAGAGCGTCAGCAAGACGATCGGAGATTCAAAAACTCTCCGATCCCCGAGCGGACTGGTCAATCGACATCGCTCCGAGCACTTTGATGACGGGAGCAGACCTCTTTCTCCGAGGTCGCGTGCTCCAACTTCCGGCGGAATTTCCGTCATTGCAAGCTGCAGTGACCTCGCAAACAACCGGAGGAGCCTGGGTCAGTGACTGCATATTTTGGACTGCACATATCCGAGATGCTGGCTCCAGCGACCGAAAAAGGCAACGCGCCTCCCGGCGGAATATGTGTTTTCTAAATTTCCCTATTTAGAGGAACACCTTCCAATGAGGAAACTCGATCCCTCACCCGCCAATCGACTCCGGTCATCTCGTGTGATATATGAAATATAGTTGACTAGCCTACCCGCTTCGCAGCGAACCGTGAATGGATTTTCCGAAACAGGCATGTGGTTGTGTAAGTCAGATGTGAATATTTCAAGGGTAACCATCATTCCCGGTGATAGTTTCGGCTTGTAGTTCCCTCGGATATAGCTTCGTTTATTTACCGTCTTCCATGCATGGGGGATTGTCATTAAACGCACCACCCCATGAATCATGTTTTCCGGAATGATTTGGAAAAGCTCCGGATCAAGTTCTGCATCAGGTATCCCGGCTGAGACCAGATCGTCAATCTTCTCTGGTGTGACCTTTTCAATTAGCCCAATCAAAATGTGGGCATGCGGTAATCCAACAGGGAGATTCTCCGAGAACATGATGTTTCACAATGAAATGCGTGAGCGCTTTCAATTCTGTTCGATATGCGTGCTACAATATCATGGCGATCCGAGCTCGATTGATCTGGCCATGATAGCGCTTTTATCTCCTCCAACGCAGGATTAAATGTACCTAAACGTAGTAAAAAAATCTGGGCGACCATAATTCCGAGCATGTGTGAAAGCATCCTGTGCGTATTCGTGCATATGTGTGGGGCTCCCGGTGAATGTCGCAGCCAAGCTCACTGGGATTGGCATTACCATCGTTACTTATCGCTTCGCGTAACTGAACATACTCATCTGAACGAAATTTCGATTGATTCAGCCTGATGAACAACAGTCGTTCGGTCTCAATATTCGCATACATATCGACAAAAAATTGACAGAGGAAATGCTGGCATCGTAGAATACGAATGTCGGCGTTATCTCGAACCATCAAATGGTGAGAGTAATAATTCATGGCGCTGACTTTTTTGTCGTTTTCTGTACCTGTCATTTTGATGTTCAGATGATATCCATCTTGTCCTCCCCAAAATATGATGGGATTCTGTAGCGTCCTACAAACGATGCGTTCCAGAAACTCGTTGGAGGTCGCCGCTTCTTCGCTGGAGAACGGTATCGCGTGAATTGAAATCTCCCCCAACAATAACAATCGCTACTTCGTCGATCGTGGGCACGTTGTAGCGCCTTTCGTGTTGGCCTGATGGTGTTTTGTCAGCTCTGATTATGACCTTGTACTCATCATGCGCAGGCATGCGCTCTAACGCCTTTCGGAATAGACGAACCAATTGGTTGCGTTGATCGAACGAGTTTTGCAACGCTGCTACGATATCGCGACCCGTGGCGTTATCTATTTGGCACCGTCTGTCAATTTGCTCATCAAGAGAGCCCATGAAATGCAAAAACTTGTGGTCAGCATCGGGAAAGGGCAAAAGAGATCCTGCAAGATGATGGATTTGTGCCTGTTTTTCGACTGTGGCCATATAAGAAATCTGGAAACATGAGTTATGCTTGCGTATGTTCCTTGAAAAGTGATCCGATTTTACCTTCCCACTTGCACAGCACAATCCTGGCGGCTCATTCTTGAAGTTTAACTGCACAACGATATTGGCATGACTTATTCATTCCTCCGATTCTCACTTCAGGTTTGAAGCTATAATCGCAACATGGGTCGTAAGAAAAGCACCATACTTCAAGTCAGAATATTAAGATAGTCGACATCGAGAAATCCGTTCTCCATTGCACGCCAATCTAGCCGCTCTTTCATCATCATTTTCGCTGTTCCGGTGTTCGCGGCATGCAGTCGTTTGATTTGCAACCTCGAGTCTCGACGATCAAATGACTCATTCGCTCGGGCATGAGAAACATCACTCCGAACGGATTCTAATCGTGATTCTGTTTGCGTCTTGGTCTCCAGCGCCATCGACGTCTTTCGATTCAAGGCGGAACGTGTCAACCGACCAATTGATTGTCGCTTGGGGGGATTAATGGTCGCTTTGAAAACGTTTTCCCAGGGACTGTCTCGAATTCAATTCCGGTGCACACGAATATCCCCATAAAGTGACAAAAGAGCAAAGCTTACCACCTAGGTAAGGCTGATGGAAACCATCAAACACCGCCACGTGAACAACGTTCACAATGTTCATAACGATGCTACCATCCCTTTGGTCGAATTATCTCATTCCAATAACAAAAACTAGTGAAACTGAGAGATTAGATTTTCGAATATTAGGCCCTCGTAGCGTGGGGGAAGAGCTCCGCGAGTCCAGCCGGGAGATAAAGTGGACTCTCCCGACAGGTTCACGCGCGCGACGAGTCGCTCGGACTGAAAGCTCTGAAATAATGGATGGCCTGGAAAGGAGAGCAAAAAACAAGATGCGTCGAAGTTCATTCTGCGGCCACTTTATTCGTCGAGAGATTCGAGTCCAACGGCGGAGAGAAGGGAATGCCGCAAGCAAGCAAGCAAGCAAGCAAGCGAGCGAGCCGAGTCAGTCAGCCACTCACTAAGCCCGCCTGCGATAATGACCTGAGGGGAATTTCTGCGTCTTTTTCCGACGCTAAATTGCTGGCGGTGTCGCTTGATGCTCTTCGCCACCGAAGCGACGACGACACAATTCGACGGTCGGTGCGATGGTAGCGCAACGTTGACGAAAAACACGGCGAGCGTTTTTCCCTCACTGTTCTCTTTCGTCCCCCACGGCTGGCGCCCACGGATCCTCTTTCGGTCGAGGCAGGAACGAACGCAGACGGTTTTCTTGGAGCCCAAAGCAAGCGGTGTCTTCACTTCTTTCAATTCGAAGCTGCAAATAGCGGAATTCCAGAGGAACGCGTAGAGGTCGCGCAGTTGACTCCACCAGGGGAACTGCTGCCCTCAGCGGAGGAGCCCTGACTGAGTCCATAGAGGCTTCGGCGGCGGAAAAATGTGTCGGAACCCGGAGCGCGGCTTCATTTCGAAGAGCATTTCGTTTTCTTCAACACCTCCGTCTCGCCCTGAGCCAGCAGCTGTGCGTTGCGAAGGCGGGAAAAAATCGTAGGGAATCGAGGGGATTCCGAGGGAGCGCGGGAAACGCTTCGAAGGCCTTGCGAGGGAGCGGGTGACCGAGACGGGACGACCAGACTTCTTTTCTTCCGAGTATAAATGATGATGCTAGCAGCCGGGTAATTTTTCACTTAATTTGTGTTCGTTGTTGTTGCGACCGACGATGACAACGCTGCCGGTTACAGTGGCGTCGGTAGCGCTCCGGCCGCTTGTGCAGCGATGTCGAGGACCAACGCCCCGAGAAGCCAAAGGGAGATTTCGACGAAGGCAAATTTTTATTTATTGCTCGGCTTTTTTCCAGACAGCGTTTGTTGCGAACATGCTGGGCTTAAGGGGCTAGACGTTTCACATAGCTTCCCCACTAAACTCGATGGATAAGCTCATCGTAGCTCAGCGTCGGGGCGCTGAAGATGTTCGAAAATGTTTCTCACGTGCGCGCGGCGCCGTCGGGCTCCATTCCGCGGGGCCTCTACATTGACACGAGCGATAATTTGTACCAGTTAACCCTATCCGCTCCCATTGGCTTTTGACTTAATGCCGGGGGATTTAGACACTTCTGCGACGGAGGTCCGAGCTCAACGGACGGCATATATCTGACGGCGAGTGCTGAGGTAGCGGCAGCGGTGGCGTCGTCGACGACTCGTGGGCTTTGCCGCCCTGTCGGATCTGAGCGGAATGTCGAGTGGTTTCGTGATCTATGACGTTGCCCCTCGACCACGTCTTTCCCCTCGAGCTCCACTTTCCGTCCCGGGACCCCCGTGCCCAGACGTCACCACCGAAACCGCCGTCAGTGGGGATACTGCCATCGCGGACCTTGTGGTCAGAGTTCATATCGTCGTGGAATCCGAAGGCCTCGGGTCGAGATCTTTTTCTACTTCATTCATCGACGTAGGTACATTGTTATTCGTTCTCGCAATCGGAGCATCGATTGTGGGACGGTTTCACATGGAACTGTTCTGCTTCTGCTGCAACAACGACGAGAAACAATGGGACAATCACCTCGAGCGGGACCTCCGAATGGCCGACGCTCGGGTCAGCGCAAGGAGAGAAAACCAGACGGAGAGCATTCGAACAACCGGAGCGAGCATTCCCCCGCTTCCTCTAATGATCGCTACGATGTATTGTGAGCCGCGGATGTATGGAAATGTTGCTATTAATTCGCGTGGCAGCCGAAAGAAATTGAAATCGTCAGGACAAATGAATTTGGCATTCAACCTTTTCTGCCATAGCTTTCTCCCGCTCACCGTGGAATCCCCTGCCCGAGAAAAACCCCCGACGAACGAGCTCCCAACGGACCAGCGGCCACCACTTCCATAATTCATTGTGTGCCGCGTCTTTCTTGTTCGCTTCCCTTGCATTCACCTCTTCACCATCCACCAACCCCATTCAACGGCGTCTCGAGAACGGGGAGCTCCAACTCACGTCATACGACAAGCCTGCAGACACTTTTGAGAGCCATTTAGGACTTCAATTCCGGCGATCTGAGCGATGGACTGTTCAGCTCCCTTGCGATACAGTCGCTTCTGTCGGCGTCGTGACGTGAGAACACCCTTGAGCCCACCGGGAATTTTCGCTCGGGATCTTGCGTGGAGCTGCTCGAGATAGGCGACTTTTTTCCCGGGGAACAGGACTTCTGGCAGCTTCAAAATGTTGTCCTGTTCGAGTTTCGGATACCTCCGAGGTTGTCCGACGCAGCGCAAAGAGAAAGCCATTGTATAGCAAGGGCACACAAAGATATTCATTCTTCCCCCGGATCCAACCAAACCAGATCTATCGGGTCTAGGATTGGTTTCGCCCCGTCTACTTTGTATGCAAATTCGTCATCAAAGGCGACAGGGTTCCCACGGTATTTCCTAGGCGAAGCTCGACGTGCTCGTGACCGTCGACTTCATAGTAGGGCTTTCGCTGAGATTCGTCGGGAAGATTTCATCATCTCATCTCTCATGACAATCATTTTGAAATCGTTGGGTTGCAGCTAATCATCGGACACCAAGGAGCAAGACCTCCGAATTACGCCGGCGTCGATCGTCGCGAATCCGAGCGGGCACGGCATCAGTATCAGAATCGATTTATCGAAGGTGACGCACGATGATTCCGATATGTGGCGTATCTGGACCGTTTCTTTCAGCTGCGCTCCATTTGCGGTCAATGGAGTCCCCCTTTGGAGTCCGATCGCTAATGGGTTCGAGTCCGGTTCCGATTTGACAATCACACCATCAATCGGGCTCGGAGGCATGTGTCCGCAATCATGGCTCATGATCTACCTACCTACTTTTTCGGATGCTGTGCGACTGATTGCTCCGCGGTCGAGAGACTCTCGGACCGGCAGCGCCGACGTCAGACGATCCGTTGAGATGACTAATCAGAGGGGGATATTTTTTTGCCTTTGTTTACCATTGCACCCAAACTCTCTCTGCATTCCTTCCTCGCTTCTCTGAAGGCAGAGGTAATTCGTTGTCTGCTCCAAGGGCGACCGGGAGTTCCCACTTTTGTTCCTCTCCCCGAGGAGGAAGTCATTCCTGAGGGACGTATCGCTAGCTTCAGTCGATGTCCCACTGAAGGAACTCTCCGCTTCGGATACTTCTCGCCTCCCAATCTGCTTTGCGGTGCTTAAGCGGCCGACTCACGAGATTCCCCGACTCTTCGAGCACACAGGCAGGAGTCGACCGTGCGGATGGGCCATCTATGCCTCATTAGGCCAAGTGGAATAGCTGGCCGCCTGTCTAGCTCGCTCACAAACACTGCGACTACGGAACCACTTCTCCCCGAGATTTCTCGGTCCACGCAAGGGCGTCACGTGAGACCCGGATGAGCTGTGTCTCCGGTCAAGGATACCAGAAATTCAACGGGGAACGCCGGTGGGGCAAATCGAGAGTACAAGAGAGAAATGCTAGGAAATAATTCACAAAGTCTGAAACGGACAAAGAACTTCTTCCTCGCAAAAAAAATGAACCGCTGGCCGGGGAGAGAGGATCAAAAATGTTTCTTGGTTTCTCTAATGCGGCAGCGGCGGCCGCTTGTTCCGTTAATGAATCAACTTCTTGATGGTAGGCGGCTTCCTGTATTTCTTCTTTTGCTTGGTCAGCTCTTTCCGGCAATCCTTTTTCGCTTAATGACTCTGTAATTGGTCTTCTAAATGTTAGGATGAGCGCGAGAACTTCGACTCAAAATTGAAAACCGTGTCGAAAACTGAGCTCGTGGCGTCGGATAACTCGACGGCTTGTTTGCTTTCACGGCGCAAGTATCGGGGTGAATCGATGAGCTGAAGAAACACAACAAAAGGGAATCGGAATCTACCAGGAGACGCCACAGAGACCATAGGCGTACATGTTCATGCGGATGCCGAGATGATAAACTGGACGAAAGTCCCCCTGAGATCGCGGCTTTCCTTACGCGTGATTTTCTCTCGTCGAATCTTGGATAAGAGGACTGTTCCGGCGAAGGGCGCAATATTTCATCCCTTGATGAGCATCCCTCGGCGAGGGGAAAAGTATGCAGTTCACAATCGGGACGAGTTCGCGCCGCGCAGGTCGCCGCGGAGATGCGGTGACGTGATACGGGCAGGCTGTTGCAGCGAGCGAGTGTGCGCCGAAAGGAGAGAATGGAAGCAAAGAGGTCAGGGATGGTCAGGAGAGCAGGCAGGACATTACGACGATGGATGACCCCCTTAAGGGTTATGTTGTAGCCATTCTCTTTTTAAGGCCTCCGGAAAGCGAATGCGCTGTTTCGTCCGGTTTCCACCTCCCGTTGAGATGCACGCTCGAAATTGATAAAGAACGGAAAAAGTGAGGCAGAACACACTCGGAGCTGGGCTCGGGAGTCCACCACCCAGGAAGGCTTCTCATCCCCTCCTAAGATAAACCTTTGAGGGAATAGACTTCTTCACCCCGTCGTCTCCTGAGCGGATCAGTGGCTTTATGGGAACAAAACGAGAACTTCACGCCTCACGCTTTTTATGCAAGAGATTCTGCAATCGTTTCTCGCTACTTCCCTCTGCAGTCCCGCGTTTTTTTCTTGGAAGCCGTTCTTAGCCCCGAGAAGATTCGGATTCGAGAATTGGTCAGAGGTCGACTCGATTAGGCCGGGAAATATGAAGAAGTCATCACATATTTAGCGACGAACCGAGCTCATCTCTCGATTGATCAATCGTAATCCAATCAATCTATCTATCAACAAGGGGGAAAAATTCGATATCGGTCGATTCAATCGTTGTTTTTCTTACAGGTGGCATGGCTTTACGTCGAGAAGTACACCCTACTGACATTGGCGAAGGCCGTCATCACCCACAGTAATCGCTTCAAAGTGACTCACAATGGTCATCGTACGTGGAATCTTATTGTGTCGGACGTACAAGTCAAGGATAAGGGAGCCTACATGTGTCAGATCAACACGTCACCGATGAAATTCCAAGTCGGCTATCTGGACGTGGTCGGTGAGTAGCGTTCGCCGGAACCGGAACATGCTCGATGAGTTGTCTCATTAACCGAAGGCCCGATCCTCGAGGAATAAGCGACGATTCCGATCCTCAACTCGCTCCGAGGGACTCGAATTCGCGAAGAGCTTATTTTTCTGTTTGATGCGTGAGAGGCTCGAAGGCTTGCCCGAGCTCTGCTCAACGGGAGCACCTATCCGCGCGGCGATTGGAGGAGAAGCGAACAGCATCCGAGTCGCAGACATAGTGCGGGCTGTTTTATGCGGCGGAACAACGGCTCCGACTGGAACGGGGAGAAGGATTTCGTCCAAGGGAAGTCTCGATCCGACATTGCTTTTGGTATTAGATGTGCATCGGGAAACAAAGCGAGACAGTGTTGTTTCCTTGTGGCAAGCGAGCCGGCGAGCGAAGGAGCACCAATGCTCGTCGTTCGGTGTCCGGATCTGTCTCTTTCCCCCCATCATCTATCTGATCCGTAATCGAATATTCAGGGAGGGCTCCAGGCTGAAAAAGATCCACGTGCACAACAGCTGATTCAGACGTGACTTCTCCTCGCTTTCACTGTCTCCGATGCAGGGTAGAATCTTGTCCGTTCGGGACGGCTCCGCATACGGAACGCTTTGCGGATGTCCGTGTCACGAGCGTTTCGGGTCATGTAGACCCAATACGATGCATGGAATGAATATTGTGAGGACAGAATCGATCCCCGTGGTATGGAGTGTTGTGCTCCGAAGACACATGCGTTCTCGTGCATCTTACGGGAGACCGGGGCGTCGTGATTGAGAGCAATAATTATTCTCTCGATCGGTAGACATGTTCATTTCTCTGCTTTTGCCTCCCAGCGAGGATGGACGTGTCTCGGAGGTTGGCCGCGGAACTACTTCTCCTGTCTGTATCCACAAGCGGCTCCTATCGGAATTCCGTTGGAATCAGTTGCTGCGGAACTTTAAGCGATTTCCCCGACGTTCTATATCGGTGTAATGTGCGTCGTCGTCGTTGTTGTTGTCGCACAAGCTGGTGCTGCGGCTGCTGATACTGCCGCCGTCGTCGTCGTCGTTGTTGAGATCGGTCGGACAGAGAATAAATTGCGTTGAGCACAATCGACAGCGCGTTCAAAGCGAATTCCTGCAGTCTGCGGTGCGCTGTCTATATGCGGATTCGCGCTCGCTCTGACATGAACGGCACGCGGGCGGGCTCGACGGACGCCGAGTCCCGCGTCGTCACTGCGAAGAAAGAAGATGCCGGGGTAAAAGCCGGATCTCTCCGGATTTATAAGAAGCGTTTTCTCTTTCTCGACTCCTGCAGGAGCGGCGTCGGCGGCGTCTTCTCCGTCTTTTCCACAAACAACATAATTTCTATGCAAATTCTCAACCGCTGGTTCTGTCGTGCGCCTCGCAGCAACCGATATTTAAACTAGTGCGTCCAGGACGCTCCTGACTGACTAGCTCTCTGGTAGGTTGGTCGCTGAGCGGGCGAGCGAGCCGGTGGCAACCGCGGCGGGCTGGTCATGGAAAATTCGCCGCATGGCTCTCTCTTTTTCTATGCGGTCATTTGCCGACAGGAAAGTATGCTCTTCTTCCTAAAGAGCTCTCTGCCGACGGGAGGCGTTCCCCGTCGTCTCGTGTCGTTCCCCGCCGTCGGATGTGCTTGGCAGCTTCCTCAAGGAACGCAGCGGCGGCTTTTTGCGGCAACCGCTATGGAAAAGATCCAACGCCGACGTCCGCCTCGTCAAATTCACAGGGGACGCAACCTGGCTCGCACCGCTTTCGAAATTAATTCGTATGCGAGATGATGTATGAACCGGATTGTCAGAGCGGCCGGTTCGTTGCGCGGCCGCTCGGCCAACGAAACAGTCGTTGAAAATTCGAAAAAGCACCGATGAAGAAACCTCGTTGGTGTCTGCTGTCGCTGGGTCGACCAATGACTCGCTCATCCACTACCTACAGCTTATCTGGATGCATCTTTTCAGTGCCCCCATCGATCAGGGAGGACCTCACGAGTTCGGACGTGGAAGTCAAGGAAGGATCCGATGTCTCGCTGTACTGCGCTGCGTCCGGAACTCCCGAACCCACAGTGCAGTGGCGGCGCGAGGACTCACAGGACATAATGATAAACGATTACAGGAGTGAGTACCCGATTCCGTCTCGAGTTATTCCTTCCAGAAACTTCGCCCTCCCATGGAATCGCTGTCCGTTTATTCTATCGATTGTCGGATCCCGGATCCGGTTGATTCGGGGTAATGCCCACCACCATAACGAGCAAGGATTATGATGCTTACGATTGATGTCGCCCAAGCCACGGGGCCTCGCCGGAGCTGGATTGTGGAGCACTCGGGCATAAAATGACAACGTATATCGTTTGCGGCCTCCGTTTTGGTCAATTACGCTCGCCGTGAACGACGTTTGATGATGTGCAAGAATCTCGATATTGCTTTCGTATCACAAAGCATTTTTCGGAATCGTAAACAGCGCGGAAGCCGCGGGTTCGGTGCGGCGCGCTTCGCGTGAGCCCCGAGAAAACATGCAGGTAGAAGATTTTGCGAAGGAATCTGGAAGTCCCTGGCCCCAGGAATAGATAACGGTGGAGATCGCACGCGGCATTGGTGTGGGGATTTCTTTGCCGATTTTAGGGGCCCCGCCTCACACTGAAATTAAACAGTGGTCAACAGATTTATACACGAGGAACTTTATTGCGGGGCGGTCATTCTGTGGCTGCACTTCCCCGCCTATAGAATGAAGCCCGAATGGTATGGTGGCGGTGGCAGCGGCTCCGACGATGATATGAACGTGACGCCTACGATCACTTTTTCCCTTTCTTGATTTGCTCTCTTTTCTCCTCGGCGGGCTATATTAGATTTGGGAAACGGTCGAAAAGAGAGAAGATTCAAAGTGTGATAGCTTTGGAAAGCTGCTCGGAGAGGCCTATATATTTTGAACGTTTTCCGTTCGTCGCACACGGTCTGAGACACGTAGTTGAGCCGCGCTCGAGCTTCTCAAAGGAAAAATAATGCAGAGCTTACTTCTTATTCCTCCGATTTTTTTTTCTCGATGAGCCCCAGAAGGAATCACAGTTCTCCTGCAATGACGAATGAAGATTCCCAGATACCCCTCTTCTTGCAGCTTCATCTACGTATTTACGTAAAATCATGTACAGAATGTTCCCTCATTGTCGGCTACCGCACTTTCCTTGAACTCTTCCGCCGATTGGGGAAAATTTCCCTCAGATATTTCTCAGGTGGATGAGGAACAGGATCGATCCGCAATACGGTTCGCGGGAGAGTTAGGAGGTCAACGAGAACAAGGCGATCAAAGCATAATATCTCACCGTATTCTTCTATCTCCGCAGCCAACGTCGTCAAAGGTCCCTGGTTGAACATCACCAAGGTGTCCCGGCTCCACATGGGCGCTTACATCTGCATCGCTCAGAACTCCGTTCAACCCTCTATGAGCAAACGGATCAAGCTCGACGTTCTGAGTGAGTACATATTCTCCTGTCCCCTGGGAATACATCGTGCCGAATTTAAAACGGACCTCAGCGCAGAACTGAAATGGATTCCGATAGACCAGGCACCGGGTGGTTTCTCTCCGCTATGAAATCCAGCCGAATCATCGGGGTTCCGTGCCTGAACGTCTCACAGACGAGACTAATTAACCTTGTTCCCTCTGCTCCAATAAGACGACTGTTGTAGACTGAACATCCGGCACTTGATCGGCAGGGGGATCCTCTCCTGGGTGTATCTGTCCGCCGTACCTTAGTCTATTGTCCATCTATGTGCCGAACCCGGCAGCTTGCGCGAGGGTGTTTGCCTGTACTGTGAGAGTCTGTTTCCGCTCTTTGTCTTGTGCGCCGTGCTTGTTGGTTGTCGTTGTCCGCTTGTTTCTCCCCGACGGACGCCCTCACGAATGGTCGCCGCAACCGACGCTCCTTGGGTCTCCCCTCCTCAATCTCCCTCCCTTCCCGGTCTCACTCTTTGTAACGATAAGGGTAATTGTGTCATTACCTTGATTGCGGCGTTGTCTGCGATCTCTCCGCGCGAATCCATTTGGGTCTACGGTCCGTCTTCGCCGCTGACCTTCCCCGCTGCTGTACCATCGGCTCTGATTCACATCTCACCGTAGCGAGCGAATGGTGTTATAGTCGAGATACGTCAACGGGGCTTGTCTTGGAACTCGTGGAGAGGAGCGCCGAGCTCGACTGTCATCGACAGGGATTTGGATGGGTGCAAGATATTTCGTTGACAGATGAGGATCAACACAGAGACAACGAACTCCTTCGAGACATTGGTGAAAAATACAGGCCAGATAAAAGTGTGGGAGGCGAGGGCGAAGGGCAGCAACAGGCGGGAAACACACTAGAGATCGGAGCGACGAGACATTGACCCCCTCGAATTCATTTCAGTTGCCCCAATGATTTGGCTCACGGATCAGATCCTCGGGAAAAGCGTTGGCTCCAACGCTCGACTGAGATGCAACCTCGAAGGCCATCCACGCGGAGACGCTCACTGGACGCGCAACGGAGACTTATTGAGGAATCGGTCGCGTTTTTCGGAAGAGATTCAGCAGTTGGGCCCATACAAACACGCTATAGTTCTCGAGATCAAAAATGTCCGACCCGAGGATTTCGGCGAGTATCACTGCTTCGCTAAGAATCCTTTCGGAGAAACGGAAGCAACGCTCAAAGTTTACGGTAAGTCCTTCGAAGTTCACTGATTCCAGAGGCGCCAAGAAGTCTCGCTCGGCTACTTGTCTTAATTTCGGAATCTTGAAACTCCAAATTCCATTGCACTGTGCCATATTTATTTGCGACATTCCTCTACAAAATAAGCGGGTCTGCAAACCTAGAGAATTCCATTACAGTACCGCCATTTCGCGGCAAATCGACATCCGTAGATCAGTGGAAACCGTTTAAAATGTTGTCCAGCATGGTTGTACGCCCCTTGATAAGCGGGGTGGACTCAGCTCATCCCACTTGTCAATTCCTCACCGTGACACCTCTTGCACCTGCGCGAGCGAGAGCAAGAAATTTGAGCCGAGCCCGTACTAGATCGGCGTTCGTATCCGTGTGTCTGTTCTCGTCCGTGAGTGGGGACCATGGATATCGCAGACGAGGGCATTCGCTTTCACCTCCAACATGCGTTATCAGCATCCTCAGTTTCGCGCACCTGTCTTGCAAGACAATTGAAAGTTCATCCTTTCATGCTATTCGAGTGCATTCCGTTCCGCGGGCCTTCCATCCCTCAGTCAGTTTGAGAGCGAGGGCCAGATGAATGGTTGCTGGCAATGAAATTAGACATTAGTCTTTGTGACCGGCGGCGTACCTTGTGCATCCGGTCTGGAGTGTATTCCTTTGTTTCGCGGTTTTTTCAAACCCACCCTGAACTACATACTCCGATTATAAAGCTTTCCCAATGGTGTTCCCCCCTGAGAAATCGATATCCCACGGGTCGTTCCGAACCTCATCCTCAGGGCTGATGGGAGAACATGCAGTGGTCAGCGATGATTGCATGTCCAATCCAGTGCTTCGACGTGGTCGGTTTTGATTTTGCACGTGCGATTGAACACTTGAATCTTAGATTAGATTTCGGTCGAATCGGAAGAGATTATCTAATCTCAGTGGGCTCGTCTCACGATTTCGGTCCTGGCAAGCTCTTTTGTGACTGTTGCAGAGATTGCACCGTTGACGACATCGACTGAGAGACCAGCAACAACTACCAAGCCTGCAAAAGCTTACATTCCGAAAACCAAGACGCGAAACAGAGTCAACCAAGGTAAAGGAATGAAGGTCAAGCAGGAAAACACAGCCCCACAGCGAGCGGCTAGTTCGGGATTCCCACTATCTGGCATCACATGTCATCCGAACTGTTGGAATTTCCTTCCAATCCGCGAAACAGAGTCTCGGATATTGTTCTTCTTTGGTTTGGATCGAGATTGAGGCATATTCTGTAATTGTTTGGTTCGCTTGTGAATCAAATGTAGATGGTACCACAGGACAGGAGCGGGCGAGCCAGCATTTAGCAAAGAGCGCAAGCCGGGTACTTTGAGTAGGATTATCCTCGCTTCGGAGCTCCGCGTGGCCACGCATATGAGTTATGAGCGGGGCGAGCCGACGTGCGAAGGAATGGCGACAGAGGATTTCTGCTCCGTCTGCCGCTCCGTTTTTTTTTCCGTCCTCCGACTGTCTGTCTGGCCGTCCGTCTGTTTGTTGCTCAGTCAGTCGGCCACTCGGTCGCACGGACGAGAGGACGGAGGGTAGTGGGAGCAAGCAGAGGGGCGGTTCGCTCTTCCGCGAGCCGTCGCGGCAACGACCTTGCTGGACAACTTGAGTAGCGGGAGAGATCTTAGGACAGTCGCTTTCCAAATGCCAATGCGGCTCGTTCTCATGAATCACTTTGTTTCCAGAGCGCGCGAAGCAGCCCAATTCCACAATCAACTTCGTCACGGATAATTCAATCAATGAAATCTACTCCCCGAACGAGAGGATCAACTGTGAGTTATGCCCCGGAGAGATTCCACGCGCCGCGGGACTGCAGTGTTTCCGCAAAGATGACATAATCGACTGAATCGATCTTCTTTCCAATTTTCAGCGGGATACAACATTTCCGCGGCCTTCTCACTGAGTAGATGGAATCTCCTGCAGCTATCATCGTTGATTTTCATCCTCAGCTTCGCCCCATGTCTTCTGCTGAAACTCTGATCGATGTATATACATCGTAAGCAGAAAAGTGAAAGCTTCCACCACCGTCCGAGAGGGCCGAAAACAACGCCTCTTGGTACGCTTAATTTTCAAGAAGAATGAGTTCTCGAGGCTGTAAGATATCACATCAATGTTTTTTCCCATCGGTACACATCGGACTCCTTCCCCTACCTGCTTTGCGGGACGAAACCCCCGGAACCAGATATGTGCTTGATTGGAGGTTCTCGGGCAAGCATTGGGTAGAAAAGTTCGACTTCTGGTGGAACTCTAAAAACTCACGTTTTCGGATAAAATCTTCGGCTTCCTCGGGCGGATATATCAGAATCGTTGCATTTATTCGGGGACACATACAATAGAGTCGGCGGTCATCCTAGGGAGGTAACAGCGTGGACATCGATCAGGCGAAGGAGACCACCGACTTTTTCGGGAGCTTTAATAGGTGCTAAAAACAGAACGACACGAAATCGAATCTCGAATTGACGGCTCGTGGATTGACATACTGCGGCTCGCGATCGCCGCCGGATCTGTCAGCCCTCTGGAATTAGTGATCCCAACGTATGTATATTGCTTCGTATTCGTAAGATAGGTTCTACACTCGTCGATGTCGGGCGTTGTCAAGAATCATTTTCAATCGATGACCATTTTTCCGGGGACAACGATATCGCGAGACTGAGACTCACAGGAGAGTATTCTCGAAGCGAGTATTATCATTGTACAATGCGGGAAAGTGACAATAGCCAATTGATAGGTAGTCCTGAGCCGACCACGCAGACAATGGACAGGCCTGACTGATGGAATTGAAAAACTGAGGTCCTGAACGAGCATGCAACGAATTCCGCGACAGTCGGTACTCGGGCTTTGTGGAGGGCGATAGGCCAGAGGTCATCTAAATCTCTGATGTGACGATTGGCACTCGTAGATCCTCATGTGACGAAAATGCGGCTCTGTGGAAAATTGTCCTGGAGAACCGAACGTAAGATCGGGTGTATGTAGCCCTGTGCGTCGACTCTGAAGACAGCCTCTGCCCCACGGAGGTCCACTCTCCGCTGATTCGTTCCCTCGATGGGGACAGAGGAGAATGATGATGTAAATGTCGTGACTTCGATAGCCCTGCGAAGTTGTTCCTATCTAAGCGACTGACTGAGTAAGGAGTGGCACCGAGACTGCTCAAGTTGATCCGCAGCGACCGCCGCCGTCGTCTTTGACTGCTCCGGTGTCCACGACGGTGGCTCTGATCGAAGAGAAACGTGTGAAGGAACATCGTCTTCAGCGAGCAGCTCGAAGCGGATGCGGCAACGGCGTGTCTGCGGTTAGCACTTCTCTGGAGGATTCAGTTTTGTATCTTCATATTGTCCGCGCGATGACCGCTCCCGATAGATTCACGGATCGGTGGTTGATCCGAGTCCTGTTCAATATCATCACACAATCTATTTTGGCTCGTGTTCCACATTCACTCCTTTTTTTTCCGATTTTGTTGCGGGAGGTCGACCAGTCGCTCGGTGGTCGGCGAGACGGTTCCAGCTACCATTTGGACAAATGGCTGTCGACGTGATCAGAGTCCCAGGGTTCACGGCGACCACGCAAGCAGTCGGCCGACCAACAACCGTAACAGGCCGCGGCGTTTCGAGGCTAAACTCGGCAACGGGCCAGGAAGAATCGCCATGACGACTCGCTGATCTGATGATGGAGGTGTCTTCACCGTCATCTAACAGAGCAGACAAGCAGCCAGCCAGCCGGCCAGCAAGCAAGCGAACAAGCAAGCTCATCTCGTTGCGATGGTATCTCGAGGCCCGAATGCGCCTCTCGCTCGACCTCTCCATATTTTCCCCGTTTAGTGTTTCCCATGGGATTCTCCTGGTTCCCGGTTCACATTTCTGTTTACCTTGTACGCGAGAGGAAAATGCTCGAAGACGTCGTCGTCGTCAGAGTTTTTTGTATTCGTTGTAAGTACACTTCAAATAAGTCTTGATCGTAATTCCGAATCCGAAGTCTATATTCAATAATAATTGTAAATATAACGAGGGAATAAAACATGTGTATATATTCGAAGTGGATCTCGAGCGTTTTTGTCCAGATGATTTCGAATTCGGCACTTCTCTCCCTTTGTACCCACGCCTAGCTCCGCCGAATGATTCCTGCGCCGAGAGACAGGATCCGCTCAGCTTCGGCCGCGAGTGCCAGTCAGTGTTCGAGAGTTTTTCTTCCAGGGCCTGATTGTGAGCCGGTGAACGCGGAGCGGGTCGTAGTGACGACCGCGGGTGGGGAACAGCGGAAATTAATCCTTCATTGGCAAGTTTGTTAGTCTACTGGAAGGGTGCGACTAGGTCAAGCAAACCGAACTCTTCATCCACCGTTGGACAGTCCGGCCGAGTACGTCCTCTGCATAAAAATCCGTAGCCTCATTTGGCCGGTCCGACGCAGCGAGAGCCGGAGAATTCATTTCTACGTGCGAACCGAATCGGTAGTCTAGGCTGGTCTAGCTGAGCTGAGTTCCCGTCGGTGTCACACGGAGTCGGATTCACGCCATCAAACTTCATTCCACTGCAGAATACTTAAGGATCATCGAAGCTCGATACGGGATTCAATGCGCGGAATACAATGAACTCGTATAAGGTCTTCTACGAAGCACTTGAAGTTTCCCGCATGACCCTGGACTCACTAATCACTTAATCGCAATCACCTAGAGCCTATGAGGTTTGCCTATTTAGAGGCAAGCTCACCCTCGCGAGGACGATGGGAGGGTTGGCACCGACGCGACGGGCCGGATTCGTCATTTTATTTGCGAACAGTCGGGGCTATTTTTGTCCCCCTCGACAGGGCGAAATTTCGATGACCCCAGCTATTCGCCGCACTCCGTCCGTAGGCTTCTACCACTTGCCGTTCGAAGACCTCTCCGTACCGTTGTTGGTCATCCGCTTTCCTTCCCTTCTTTTATTTAGGCAACTGAGCTGTCGCCAACTCCACGTCCACTCACCAGCTGTTGGACCACAGAGCGCTTCTGAGGATAGATGAAAGA